ATTGGTTTTAGCTGTTAAGCCAGATCTTAAATGCATGCCTGATATATTTAAAAGAAAAAGGGACAATGTTTTGCTACCAATTGTTAACACTATGACAACTAGATAATTCAGGAAAAAGTTTTAATTAAGAAAAAAATTGAGGGAAGTAAGATATCCTTGCTTGATTTTGTAGATGTGATGTTGAATTTGTTGTGCTTCAGTTCAGTTAAAAAGTAAAAAAGGCGACGTAAACACCAACTCTGACAGATCATCACTAAATTAGCTGTTAGCTTAGCTAAAAGCAGCGGTATGCTAATCTACCACAACTATCACTTATTAATATCGCAAAATAGACATCAAGCCTGAAAACATAAAACTGTAACGGACTGAATATTCTGTTCTTTTCTTTTTTGTGGGAAATGTTTGAATGTTTTTGGTGTTAAATCCTGACAGATATGGTGATGTTGTCAGTTACTATGGCAACGAGTCTGTGTGTAGCGTAGCCGACAACAGAAAGCGAGTAAAAAGTGGTTTTGAGTTGTTTTCTAACGGTTTTTTTCTTTTTCTTTTGCTTTGACGCACTGAAGTAAATCAATACCAACATACCGCGGCAGGGCGGCTGTGGACGGCGTGTACAAGAATCGTCTCCAGCTTTGTGCGCATGCGCAAAATTTCCGGACGTAAACAAAAGTCATGCAGCGTAAAATAACCAGATGGAAGAGGAGAAATGATTCGTCCGGGCAGCTCGTGTGTTCGCTGTTTACAGTCTACCAAACTCTCCGGGCTCCAGGTGCTTCCATTTCACATCCCTGTATTTCAGATGAAGAGTGAAGCAGCAGCCATCTGCTGTTAGCGTTCAGCAGTGCTGCAGCAGCAGCTGCAGCAGCTCAGATGAAGTCAAGCTGCAGGCGGCTGCAGAAGCATCGCTCTCAGAGCTGACAGATCACGTCCAAAACGGTGAAAATAGGCCCGAACGCCGAGAACTAGTCTGAAGCATTTTCTACTTTCCAGTTGACAGTTTTGAATCTATTATCCTGAGACAAGACTCAAATATGATCCGGTTCCCCCTGCAGTCAAACATCGTTCTTAGTGTGAAATTCTTGCTTCTCGCTGCACTCCGCGGAGCTAAGCCACAGCTTTCTTTTAAATCCCTTATTTAAACAAACATTCATGTCAGCGCCTTTTCTCAAAGAGATTTTTTTATCCGCCTTTGCTCTTTTTCATCACTTATTATTTCTTTCCCTGCCACACTGTTTCGCCTGTCTTTTGTTCTAACCCTTACAAAAACTAGTCAAGCGCTCAAAAGTGAGAATATGCTTGATAATGTTCACATTTTGAATTATTTAGCTCGTGGTGGGGAAGAGGAGGACGACAAACATGGTTCCTAACAGAATGGGACGATTTGAGTGCTAAATATCTGCAGATGCTGAGAAAACACATGATGAGGAAGTAAATAAAATCTTCCCATCTGGTTTCAGGCTTGACTTGGACCTTTTATTTTCTTTATGTAAAATGTACAGAACTTTTTTTTTTTTAAAGTTTCAGTGGTTTTTAGTGAAAACATCAGCCAAAAAAATATGGAAAAATATGCAATTTATGCAGCAAACTTCAACAAATTTGTGATTTCACTGAAACTAGAATTTTAACAGGTAGGATTTAAAAACTGAAAACGTTTTTCAGTGACCAGAGTTTATTCCTGCTGTTTGGCTGTGATGTCTCTCCCCCACCTGTTACTGCTCACTGCAGGTCAGCTGGCTGGAAAGAATGTTCCTATACTTTCAGTTTGCTTACAAGAAAAACAAATATGAATATTTGGAAATATTTCTGATTCACAAAAGATGAAAAATCATGATGTGAAACAAAGGAGTGGTCAATATTATGATTTAAGAAAGATGAGCTTTTTTGACTTAAGAAGTTATGTTTTAGCTTATATTGAATTTTTACTGTTTAAAGGGTATTACTTTGTGCAATGCCTGACAAAGTGCCATCACAGAGGTGCTTCATGTTCTAAAAGCTGGAGCAAACTCATTTTAAACAGCAGAACAAGCTATACAGCCACTTAAAATGACTACTAAAGTTACAGCGTGTTTATTCTGCATTTAATGAAGTTTTCTAATATTTTAAGTGAAAAAAGAGTAAATTTAAGGTTCTTAAAATTGGAGTTGTTTGTTTAAACACTCTGAACAGCAAAGAAACAGCAAAATAGACACTATATGCGTAGTTGTGTTTCCATAGCCATATAATTGTGCAAATTGAAATTACAAAGATAAATCTGCTTGATGAAAATACTGTCATTTAGAAACAAACACGTTTTTTTGCTAAAAGGTTTTTGTGCTAGGATGAGGTTGTTTTTTGACTGCATTTTGCAAAACTGTGATCAACAGACAGATGTTACTACTGGCGAAAACCACAAAGACGACAGGAAGTGGGAGGTGGATGATTTTTTTGTTTGTTTTCCTGACAATGAGCAGATGACTCCACCAAAGTTGTCATTCCAACGTGTTGAATTCATCACTCTTCTGTATAATTTACCTAAAACACCACCTACACAACCACTTAAAAGTAGGCGGGGCATGTCGTGTTAGCACTACAGCTGAATTATGAATACAATCTCATGTAACTGTTTATGTCCATGGCTGCCATTTTTTAAAATAACTTATTGCGAGAGCAAGCTTATTCACAAATAGTTTTAATTTCTTAAACAGAAACAGGTCTTCAATAAGTTTTGATTTGAAGTATAAAAACACAGCTGCCTATTAGTGACATCTGCACACAGTTACACTAAACCACACAGAGGGTTTAGTTTATCTTATTTTGAACATGCTTGGAAACAAACAAGTAAAAGAAAGAGAAAATGGCAATAATAATAGCTTAATTTATAAAGTGCTTATAAAGTGCTGAACATTTACAACGAGGTAAAAACTAAAAGAAGTGTAAACGTATTAAATGCAATCCCAGTGACTTATAATTTCAACAGCTAACATTTTCTGTAAAACTCCTCCCAAAGTACTTTGAAGCCAGAGAAAGTGCAGGAGTTTTATTCTTTTCTGATACTAAAGCGCATTAAGTAACAAAGTGCAGCTCCTCCCCCACCTGTTGCTACATTGTGCCAGTCAGCTGGAACAGATTTCTACTTTTTTTCCATGAAAAAGATCAATTTGAATATTTGAAAATATTTTCAATTGTTCTCTATTTTTTATTTATTCTGCAGGTCAAAATGCAAATACCCAGCAATAATAATAATAGCTTAATTTATAAAGTGCTTTCAAAGTGCTGAACATTTACAAGGAGGTAAAAATAAAAACAATACATTTAAAAACAAATAAATTACCAATAAGAGCAGTAAGAACAGTAGGTATTGTGGCGTCTTCAGCAATACGACTGATTTTATTACAAACTTCAGCACAACCAAATCACGAGGAAATCTTGGCCCAATCAGTGAAATCGCCGTTATCACTGGGCAGCTTCTCTTTTCCAGGGTTCTGGTCAACACAAAGTAAACGTCATCACATACCTATGCTCCAGATATAGACATGTTTAGGTCTCGGTGGCGGATCGACTGCTAGCGCGTCTGGAGTCCATGGATTAAATTTGTTTTTCAAACTCGGTGTATTTTGACGTGACTGTTCAAGCACTTCCAAAAACAAGTCATCCAGTATAAAATTAGGGAACGTAAATCAAAAATAAAACCATTATGTTAATTTATTTCCATATTAGTAGTAGGAAGAATTGCCACAAACAAATCAGGTTTTAAAATAGTTTTACTCAACGTTGCCAAACTTGCTACCAACAATTTGTTAAATGATAAAGAAAACAAATCTGCTGCTTTTGCACCACACAACTGCAGTGGCTTCAGAAGACTGTCCAAAAAATAAATGCACAATTCAGCAACTTTTGCTGTTATAAAATAATCAACAGTCTGTGTTGATTTTCCTCCTCAGCATCTCTCCTGAAGATTAAATAGCCAGGATAATTTTTCTGGTTGTTGTTATTCATTTTGCTGCAGGATGTTCATTTCCCAGATGTTATTGTTTGTGGGTGGCTGCGCCTGCAGTTAGGTCTTCCTTACATTTTAAAGAGGATTGTGTTTCCCTGCAGGTGGACAGACCGAGGGAACACTTAGGAAAAAAAAATTAAAAATAAAAAAAGCTGACGGAGGGTTTAATTTGCGGGGAAAACCCTTAGGCTTTATGACTCTGCGCGTTATGCGCTTCCAAAACCATGGGGGAGCTCAAACATTTTGCAGCTTTATCCATTTCTGTCTCCATCTTCATATAACGTGCACAAACGAGCACGCGCACACACACCCACACTGCAAATACAGCAGAAAGCTGCACCATCCTCTCCCTCTCTCTCTCTAACCGCACAAAGCCTCGTCATGCGCACCCAAAACGCACCAACGCGCAAGGCAGAGTCCATGGAGACCCACACAAACTCTGCGGGCCTCATACACAAACTGACGCGCACGCACTTCAGCTACACCCCCTCTTTTTCTCCTCAGCATTAGTCAATACATTCAGGATACATAAACCACCCACAGTCACCCAAAGCATCTCCCTTTCTCTCTCTCTCCCCTCTCAACCTGCAGCGACACCATCATCACTTTGAAAACCAGATCAGACCCAAACACTGGAGCTCTGTGATGAAAATAAACATGGATCCAGGTATGCACCATGTTTCAGGGCTTCATCTGCGTATGGAGAAGCTGCTCAACCTAAACAAGGGCATGATACGCAGCCAAACGGAACAAAAACAGCACATTTGCTTAAAAAAAGAAGAAAATAGCTAGCGAGCAAACAGACTAAAAACAAAAGTGAAATAAACTAACGCTAATCTTTTATTAAAGCCGTTTCATTATTGAAAACACACGATTTAAATGGTGGCCGTCGTTTAAATGTGGCACCATGACAGACAGCAGCTGCTGTTAATTGAGTCAATCAGGCTGAAGATGCTTACAGGTGTTTAATTCTCTCCGTGTGCGGCAGGGAAAGGTTTAGAGGGAGCCGTTAGGTGGTCCTTACCTGCTTCGGAGACTCTTTTTCTCCGTCTGTGAGCTGGAAAAAGAGCAGAAATTCACCGCGGAGCTCCTCCAAAATTAATGATTACTCCCCTCTCCGCTCGCGCGCCTCACGTGCGGCGCTTCTGCTCTGAATGCGTATCTGTCCGCGTTTCTTCCCCCCTCCACCACCTCTCCCTCTCTCTTTTTTTGTTTCTCTCGCGGGATTTCCACCTCCGTCTTCCTCTCCTCCTTCTTCTCCTTTAACTCCGCAGAATCAGCTCGTCCTCCTCGAGCCTGTCGAACCGAGACGGAGCGGCAGGAGACGCGTCTGCTCGCGCTGCTGATGCGGCTCCTCCGCGCGACCCATCGCGATGCCAGTGGCGGGAGGAAAATGATGGAAATGCGGGATAAATCCCAAATGAATCCCAACCCCAGAGCTACAGGTGACGGATCATTGGCTGTTTGGGAAATAAAAAATGAAAACCAGAGTGTTGGCTTTGGTTCCGGCTCCACAGAGTGGCATCTGTAACTGACTCTGGTTTAGGAAATACATCACTTCATGCACCTTTCTTCCTTCTCTCTCTCTCTCTCTCTCTCACAGCTCACTCAAGAAAAAAAAATCACTGGCAACATTTAAGCTTTCCAGCTATTCCAGTTAAAATGTTTTTTTTTCCCTGTTTCACATAAACAGAAGAAATTGGCTCCTTTATAAGTCATAAATTAGTTGACTATTGAATCTGGCTCTATATCCTATGTAGACTTTTTTTCTAGTGGGAGTTTCCTATTGGTCGGGTTTGAAAATCATTAGTGGAGCCTCCTGCTCAACCAACAAGAATACAGAAAGTGGTTTCTGGATGGTAAGTTGACAGAAGAATACTCGTCTTTTACAGCACCTACTGTACAGCTGATCAGGTGCTGGAGCTCAGCTTGGGTTGCTAGGTGATGGGCGGAACTCCCTTCGGGTTACTAGGCAACGGGTTTGGATTGCTAGGTGAGAGGCAGTGCCTTAACATTCTGAAGACTTTTAAAACAACTTGTTTTCTAGACACCAAAAAACATTGACTTATTGCCTTTTTCTTTTTTTTTTATTGCACTTGGGCTGTTTTTAGAAGCAGCAGAGACCCAAATGAAAGTACAAAAATGTCTAAAATGTGAATTTTGGACTGATGTCCCATTTAAGTTTGAGAATTTCCAAAACATTATGTAGTATGGGGGTTTTGTAACATCTTTGTAACAAAATACAAGGAAGGAACATATTGATTTGGCCTGGTTTGTTCCAATCAATTAGTAGAGCAAATGTACTTTACATTATTGTACAAGTTAATACTGGTTCTGATAGAAGCTCAGTTTGTTGCACATTGGATCTGCGCGGCAGTAGACCTGTCAAGATGCCTATGTTGACCACTATCTAGCTTTAAAGGTGGTAACAATGGGCACATAAGCAATACAGCATTGGAAGAAGGCGCCCTGGTTTGATGAATTTTGTTTTGTTTTACATCTTATGGATGACCTGGTTTATATTCCTCACTTAATTGGAGAGACACGGCACCAGGATAAACTTACGATACAAGACAAGCCTTTGGTGAAGCCTGCGGACATGTTGTGTCCTGCCATTACTTTGACGTCTACTACGTCACCATTGCTGCAGACCATCTGCATCTTTTCACAGGGATGTTATTTCTTGGTGGCTGCGGCCTCTTTGAGCAGAAAAAAAATATTCAGGAATGGTTTGAAGAGCAACAAAAGCAACTGCTGACTCCAACAAGTTTTTGGAACTGAACATAAGCTGAATATCCTGAACAAAGAAGACAAATCTCTCCTTGCAACTTGCAGGATTCAAAGGATCTTCTGCAGAGACATGTTGGTCCCCGGATAAAGCAGCACAACTTCAATAGTCTAATGGGGAACAGTGATGTTACTTACGCCTGATTGGTGTCCAAATGCTTTTTCGATCAGTCTGAAACATTTTGTTTCCTTCCTTCGTTTCTGAAGGAAGGAAAGTTTGCAGGGTTTTAATTCTTAGGTACAATGAAAGCATTTGTGATTTTTTTTTTCCTGACTTCTTGCCATGAGAAAAGGTTTATTACATACATGCAAGAGCTGTATTTACAGCGACTGGTCAAACATTATTTCAGCAGAAATAATGTTTTGCCATGACATTTTAGAAAATAAACTTGTCAAAAACAAATCTGTCACATCGTTCAGTCGTCTAGACGGATCAGAAAGTGTGACAAACACAGCGACCGGTTCCCGTCTGACATGCCAAGTCTCTGAAAGATCTTTGGTTTGAGTCATCACTGTTTTATTATGTTCCTGTCGGACACGTTTTAACTTACAGCAAACCAGTTTAATTTCAACGTTAGCACCTTTTCCAAAACATTCACAAGTGGACACTTAAGATTCCTTCTTCCTTCCCTGGAGTTACGTAATACTGAGGGCAGATTGATGCACTTACTGAGTGGAAAGGATCAGATCCAAACCAGTAGTAAACAGAGTGTAAGACTGATTTTACAGTCCGTGTTGAGCATGTTGACACCTGAGGACGACTTTTTCCAGACGGACTGTGGGTAAAACCAAATGTGATGGTGTTGTGTGTGTAACCGGATCCTTTCTGTGCCATGTTGGTTTTATTGAACAATTAGGGCCAGAACTTGGTTTTGTTAAGAGAATAAAAATAAAAACTTCTGGCTCGTTATATTCTCTTGTCCTCCCGGATTCAATGGTTCCATGCATGGAAACAAAAGCCACACAGAGATGACAGTCAACGCTCCACATCATACATTTTCAGAGTTTATTCTAACATTTAAAAGTATAAAACCACATTAACAGACACTTCAAACACACTAAAACAAACATTAATTTACCTGAGACAAATGGAAAAGAAGAAGGAAAAAAAGAAGGACGTGCAAACACGTCTGGAGAATTGGAAGAGCAAATCTAATTTGTTACTTCTGTGTAGAAAGTTTTATAGTAAAGGTATATTCTTGTCTTTAATTTATTCAAATAAGGTGTATCTTTGCTCATCCAACCAGGAGCTGTCTCTGTCCCTCTCTAAAGTTAGGAACTCCCTGCAAGTCACGATCTAAGGCCATTTGTCCCCATTATCTAAACAAAGTGGAAGCAGAGACTCTCCTGAACTCCTGCTGTTTTATGGCTTTTCACGGATCTGTGTGAAAAGCTGGAACTTCTCCTGATTGTTTCCCACACAGACAAAGGGCAGTTCAAAAGATCTTAGCAAACAATCTGCTGTAACTACAGGTAACATAAAGGTCAATAGGGCAGAATAAGTTATTAATCTGAAAACTATAATTAGGCTATTTCAATCAAGACATGTTAAGTTTTAAAGCTAGCATATTCTAAATTTATTTTCTTAACAGTTTCTCTATGAAAATGATGGTGTGTTGGTTTATTCTGACAAGAACAGCTTGCTCCAACTCCTACACAAAACAAAGCATGTAGCACAACTACAGCTAACTTTACAATCATTAGTTCGCTAAATATTCACATAAAGGAATTAATTTATATATTACAATGGTGATGATAACATAGAATAACTTAATAAACCTATAAACAAACTGGAGGGTTTTAAATAAAAAAAACAATAACACTCACCCCTTCTGGAAGACAACGTGACAAAGGGGAGGATCTAAAGGACACAAACTTTTTTTATTCACCAATTAGTGTATATACAACAAACAGACCGACAAAAAGCAAAAAAGGGGCATTGATCTACAAAATAATTAACCAGACAATAGAGCAAACAACAGCAATTAACCAAACAACAAGAAAAGAAAAGAACCAACCAAACAAGGAGGTATGCATTGAAATGGATACAGTCCAAACAAAAACGAAACAGAACATAATCAACTGGTGTCACAACAAAAGCAATGAAATTGTTTAAAATATGTGGATTAGGGTTTTGTTCTCCAGTTGTGGCAGTTATTTTCTAATTTGAATTAATATTTTTCTGTTCTCTAATATTGCTTGGTTAACCTAGCATCACAGATATTTTGGCTAGAGGTGGAAAAGAAGGAGAAAAAGAAAGCAAACAAAGAAATAAATATAAATATAGGATAACTAAAAAAAAAACACACAAAAAACCCCACTATGCCATTTAACAACAATACCACAGAAGAAGAAATAAAAAGAAGGGGGCTCCTGATTTTAAAGTCACACGGTTGTAACAATGACGGAGTTTTCAAAGGTAAAGGAACAATCTGGGGAAAAAAAATATGGACATTTTGTGTAATAATAACAAAAGAGAAATACAACCCAGTGACATGTGGTATCCAGTAAGCAGTGCTATTATTACACATTATATCTGCCAGGCAGAGTGAGACTATCACTCTATCCAGCTTTGCCATCCTATAACCACTGGTACCATCATTTATTTATTATTTATTTTTAACAGCTAACAATCTAACACCCCCTCAGGATGTCTAGACTGATCCAAATCACAGGTGGCCTAAAATTTCCATCATGCAGAAGGTAATCCATTCAAAAATAATGGTCATTACAGACTCCTGGGGCTCCCACTAACCTGACACTTCCTGTTCCGTTCGCCACATCATAAAATCAAATGACTTTAATCCTGTACATGTACTCTGTTACCCTCCACCGCCGTCCCTGCCGACCCGGTGGATTTGTTACCACGGATTTGCTCGACGGTCACACAGTGGGATCACTGGGATTGCTTTTAGATTGGTTCTCCCTGCGCTCAGCTTCAATAGAGAGACTGAGATCTGATAAATTACCAGCTCAAACCAACTCTGTGTTGGATTTCCAGCCAAGGAAAACTGGTCAGAAATGTATCTTGGCTTTTTATTAAAAGGTGAATAATTATATAACATTTTTAATAATTTTTTTTTTAAATAAAAAGAAATGGGTACACATGACTGTGGGGTGACTGACAATGCAGCATGTTTTGGTATTGATCCGATAACTAGTAAATTCAGGACCAATATCAGCAATACCAATACAATATTTAATATTTAACCACAATTTGATGTAATCAAACTTCTGACCTACTTTAGTAATTTTTGCAGCTTTTCGTTTGAATTATTCTTTTAAAAGCTAAAGATAAAAACAAAAATTTGAGTGGATTGTTTTCTAAACAAAGAAAGATATTAAACTCTGAGAGCAAATTTATGGTAGGTTAGAGAAACTACAATACAATAATAAAATTTCAAGAGGGGATAGACAAAAAGAGACAGATGCAGAAATACTTCCTATGTTCATGAAAAGTATAAAGTTAATGTCAGAGGAGGACATGACGAAGATCTACAGTAAAAACGTTGCTGACATGCGAGCGCACAAACATACACACAGCCTCTTTGGTTTCAGTACAAACTGACCCGGTTCGTCGCCTTGTTCCCGTCTCGGCTGCTACTGGTTCAGATATTCAAACAAAGCCATTTTCTGATTGGAGCGTGCCGGGACGGAGTCACATGATGACGCGATGATGTCATCAGAACCGACTGTTCTCTAATTTTGGTCAGAGGTTTTGTTTTCAGTGTTCTGATTATTTTATGTAGTTTGTATACTTTGATAAGA